CTATCAATTATGATACCATCCTCCTCCTCATCAGATGCTAAATTGAAAATAAACCATTATTAATCATGCAGTAAACCCTACATGCTTCAAAACATGAATTTTCATATGTGTCTTGTGGAACAGCAGATTCCTTAACAATTTCTTGATTTGCTGCAAAGTCATAATCATCTGCAAGTCATACAATAGAGTCTCATAAAGTAGTGGTGTAATTGTCTTACTTTGAGCTGCTGGTATTTGTCGAGAAGTTACTATTGTAGTCAAACAGAAGATAACAAAAGTCAGCTTCATGATGGCAACAGTGTCATAAAAAAATAAAGAAATAAAATTTAATATTATAATTATGAAATTAAAGCTGGCAGCTTTTAAAACAACTGCTTAAACCTACATGCAAATAATTAAATTAGCTTTCTTTGGCAAGAAAATGTATAAGCAGTGAGTTGCACTGCACCATCAGCCACTCCTTCTAATAGGGTGGGGCTAGTTTGGTCACGTGACATAGAGCACACACCCTATTTTCTGTTTGTTAATGCTATAAAATGGCGGTGTCTTCTTCTGCCACCAGCTCGGTCACCAGGACCAGCTATGCCTTTGATACTCTTTGCAGTGGGAGTCCCTGCTGCGTCTGTGATGCAAATTGTCTTTCAAAACTGACTAAAAACTTTCGTACTCCTCGATCTGTAGCTGCATCACTCTACAAGAAGCTCGATGAGATTATACATGAGATTGAAGCAAGGAGAGGATGCCAGCTAGTGGGGTTTTCCATTGGAAGAGCACCGATTAATAAAAGAGAAAGTACAAAAAGGAAAGGAACCTACTGTTCATTAGATATAATGGATCCCAAGACTTGGAATAAAGATGCTCTTAAACTGCAGTGGGAGGAATGCAAGAGGTCTGATAGTTGTGGAAAAGATGGACTGATTGTCCTTTCTGTAGTTACTGAAGCAGAAACTCCCATTAATTATTCCTCTCATGAAGAATATGTCATTAAAATAGAAGAAGAATTAAGAAGTTATATTATGTTCGAAACGAATGATAATCGACTTCAAATTACTTCTTTTAGCCTGCAAAAAAGTAAAGGGAAAGCTCATGCTTATGCAATTTATGTGGCTATGAAACTTTTGGAGTCCTTTAATGAAGTATGGAAAGGAGGGGCAGAAGGATCTGCAGTAATGCATACCCATCAATATGATGAGGTATAATATAATATAGTGTCTTTATATGCATGTTGTTTTGTTGCAGTTCTTTGCATTTTTAGTCATATAATTCATGATTTCATTGCGCATTTTTCTTATATCAATAGGAAAGCAAGAGCCATACAAAAGTAAATAAATTAGAAGTTGAAGAAGACAACAAGGAACTAAAGGTAAAATGAATTGAGAAATTTTGGAGCATTTTTAATACTGTATAGTGCAAAATTTTAAAAGCCTATAAATTTCCCAAATTTGCCTAAAAATCTATTTTGTGGATTTAATTTTTACAAACTTATGCCATCTGCCATGTACCATAATAGTTTGATTTTGCAGAATTAATTTTTGCAAATCTTCAAAGAATTGAGAAAATCAGGAAATTTACAGCCCTTGAAACTTTTGCACTACCGTATAGCGGGTTTTTTTCAAGGATAATAAATTTTGCGAATGACCCATATCCAGAAGTTTGCGGAATTAATTTTCACGAATTTTCACTAATCTGCCATCTTGTACCGTATTAAATTGATTTTCAAGGAATTTAATTTCGCGAATCATGAAAAAATCCGTGAAATTTGTTATCCTCGAAAAAACCCGGTATACGGTAGTTACACTGTTCATCCAAACTAATCAGGAAAATGAATCTGAACTGAGAAAAGCAGTAAAAGAAACTACCCAACTGAGCAAATCACCCAAAGAAAGCCATCAAATTAAAGTAACTCAGGAAGAAAGCAGACAATTAAAAGTAAGTTTATTTGCTATTATTAGCTGTTCATATAATGCACTTTATCAGTTGCAGTTATCTGAGATGGCTGAGTTGTCAAAGGCAAGGGAGACTGAGCTGGAAAGAGTCAAAGAAGAGAATGCTCAACTTAATTCTCAACTGCATCATAACGTTGAGAAAATACACCGAGCTAAATTGGTAGCAGAGGAAGAGAATGAGCGATTAAAAGTAATTGCTATTATCCAATATCCATAAATACTTTACTGTTTTTGTAAAAGGTACCATTTGTCTGAGTTGGTTGAAAGATCTGAAGCAAATGACATTGAAATGAGAAAATTAATGGAAGAAAATTCTCGACTGAAGACAACAAATGTTAGAAAATCACCAGAAGAGAAAAATGAAATTAAAATGATCAAGAAAGAGAATCGACATTTAAAAGCAAGTGTAAATTTCTTTATAAACCGTCTTATGTATAATTTTATGTAGGCACAAGTATCAGAACTGGTTAAACTGTATCAAGTGAAAGAAACTGAATTAAATGAAGCAGTGACTAAGAATACTTTATTAACTGCTCAATTGCATGATGTGGAAAGAATCAAGGAAGCTACAGTGTTGGAGGAAGAAAACATGCAACTAAAGGTTCCTATTAAAATGGTTGATTGTTTATAAAATATAATATTTTGCTTATTTATTAGATGCAGTTGTCAGAGCTGATTGTAAAGTCAGAAGCAAACGAAGCTGAATTAAGAAGAGTAATGGAAGAAAATGTTCAGTTGAATGCTAAACTCCATTTTTCACTTGAAAAAAGGGAGCAAACTACAACCCAGTTTAAGAGGCAGTTCAGCAATGAGTTGGAAAGAGTGGAGAGGGAGAAAGAAAAAGTCATAAGCAAATTACAGGAGAAATTACAAATGAAAGATGCAGAGGTTTGTTGCTTTTAAAGTGTCTCCTCCATACTTTAATTGGATTAATAGAGTACTATTTATATGGAAGATTTAAATATTGAAAGGGTTGACAGAGAAAGGATTCACTCCCAGTTAGAGGATTTAAGAGAAGAATTTGCTCAAACAAAAGAAAGAATGCTAATTGAAAGACAGGTAGAGACTTGTCAGTGTGAGTAATACTGATATATGCTGACTGATTTAACCTCATAGAGATGTGAGCAATTGGCAGAGGAGAATGCTGAATTAAGCAATCAAAGGGAAAAAGCTCAAGAAGACATAAAAGTGCTGACAGCACAAGTGAATGCTTATAGTCGTGAGGTGGACAAGCAAAAAGGATTAGTAACTCAGAGTCAAGAGAAACACAAAACTGAGGTATTTGCACATTTACATTAACATGTACTTAACTTATATTTATATGTACTTGTACATGATTATAATCAAATAGGTCAGTGAATTAAATGAGAAGCTCGTTAATGAGAAAGATAAAATAGAGAAAATGAAGCAAGCCAGCATGGTAAGCTGTGCACGCCTAAGGTTAATAATATGCTGGCTTTTATACTCTTAAGGTTTTAAGAGGTAAGATGTTGGAATCACAGTTTGAGTCGAACAAATTACAAGAAAAAGTTGCCTCTCTTCAACAAATGCTCTCTGGGTTTCAA